TATCAATGTGAGTATTTTCTCTCCTTCCAGAAACAATGTAGACAAAAGGACTGCACTTGAAAATCTGGATCTCATCTTTTTGTGCCTTGACGAAGTTGTTGATGGAGGGTAATTCCCATGCTTCCACATGCTATTATGCTACGCAGTTGGTTTCCTTTAAAAATAAATAAATTCCGGCTCCTTTTCCGTGGAGTGGTGCATGCCATAACCATTTTCTGTTTTTTTGTATCTTCAGCAACGAATTCAATTAGTAGCACTTATACTTTCATAATTCGGATCACCTATGTAGAGTTGATAGCAAAGGTTAATTTGAACGTTATGGATGATTTACTGTTCACTGTTTTCAAGAAACAATCGTGCCCGATTTCTATCACCACACAACAACCGTTCAGATTTTTATAAATCGGACTATGATTTATGTCTTAGCTGTTGAGGACATGAGCAAAATAACCTCAAGTTAACCTTTGCGCTTGTGCCATGATAATACAGATTTAAAGACTTTCTGGTCTGTCAGATTGTAATTTGTTTGATGAGTTGCGGACCTGCATATAGTTGATTGTTCACAAACGCCTTGCAGGATTGTTCTGGAAACGGATGGAAATGTGATAGCCGAGAAGGTGTCAGGCCATGGATTGGAAGGAGCTGGGTCGTTCACTGAGCAGGTATAACACAGTTGTGATAATGGTTCCAGCTGAAACCTATCTACTTCCAGATGACTTATTCTTCTCCCATCTACTTGCAGACGATAAGCCAAGCCCTAGCGACAGCAAGAGAGCACTTCGCGAGGTCTCTTCTGAAGTAGTGTGTGTAGGCATCTTTCGGGTTGGCGATGCACCCAGCATTGAACTCCTGTGTTTCCTCTTGTAGCACAGTGCACCTAGTTTGCAAGAAAGAAAGAACGAGAAAATGACTTGAATCTTTGCGCGCGAGTTCGTTCGTCTGTTGTTGTGGTGCTCGTCGACATTTTGTCGCAGAGATGTATGTGCGGCCTAAGTGCCTAACTGGTTACCAGATTCCCTTCTAAAGTCTGTATAAGAAACTTGTGATGGTGCAGTCGTTGGTCTTGTTGTCTCACCTCCCTTTTGGTGCATAATAGCAATCCAGCAACAGCACATGATGCTACCAATTTCTTGTGATCTGCGACTTTCTTCCATCCTGTTAAAAAAAGAACCTTCTACCATGATCATTTGAGTTTTCCTCTATATCATCCTGTGCACCTTCTACCATCCTTTTGCTTTCCCTTGCAGGTCGGGCTATTCTTGTTCGCGCGGCTCTCCGGGCCCTTCCTATATATGCTATGAGTGCGCTGCTGCTGCCCATCGGAACGCTTCAACAAATTGACAAACGCTGTAGGGCCTTCTTCTGGTCAGGGCAGGATAAAACTACGGGAGGGCAATGCAAAGTGGCTTGGGACCTTGTGTGCGCTCCATTCGTGAACGGGGGTCTAGGCTTCTCCTCGCTCAAACACATGAATGTCTGTCTTCTTCTTCGTCACCTGTCAAAACTGCATGACTCTGGCGCTGCCCCAGCCCCGTCCTACCTAGTTACCAAATATGGCTGGTCTCCTACCCACGACCTGGGCGCTGGGGATTCAGCTGCGTCGCCAGTCTGGCGCGATATCTTTAAACACCTTGACTTCTTCCGATCCATTACGTCGGTTAAACTCGGGAATGGGGCCACCACCTCGTTCTGGAATGATCTTTGGCTCCCAAACAACCAAACTACTCTTGCATCTCAGTTTGCTGCTCTCTACACTCACTCCAATAGGCAGTCGGCCTCAGTTGCTAGAGTGCTGGATTCGCCAGATCTGAACCTCGATCTTGCTCCTTGATTATCCCTTGTAGCTGAGAATGAATTGGTTGCTTTGCGTAATATTATGGCTTCGGTTAACTTGGATTCACAGGTGCACGACACCAGGGTCTGCAGCCGAGAAGGCAAGGCCCTTACCACCAGTTTGGCTTATAATGCAATATGGCACGAGCATCCGCCGGACCCGATGGCGGCTGCTATCTGGAAAAATTATGCACCAAACAAGTGTCGCATCTTCATGTGGTTGGCTCACAAAGATCGAGTATACACCAATGAGCGTAGGTTGCGTCGCTCAATCGCTTCCTCTGATGCCTGCCCGTTCTGCGGCACCTGCGAGGATATCACTCACCTTCTTCTCCGCTGCTCTACTCTTCGGCCGCTCTGGGACGAGCTCCACACCCTTTATAGGGGGTCGCCGCGCAACATCGCGGATATCTGGCATCAGGCCCCGTGGGACAAAGTTCGTTCCACCGTCCTCATCGCAATCTTCTGGAACACCTGGAAGCGCCGGAACGCCAAGGTCTTTCGACACGAAACCCTTCACATCCATCACATTGCTAGGGTAGCGGCGGACGATCTGAAGCTTTGGTCTCAAAGATGCAAGAATGCCCTGCGAAAGTCGCTGCTCCTAGATTGGGGCGCTATGTTGTCAAGCCTGGCCGAGAGATTGTAACCTAATGTAATCTTCGGCACCCCCCTCCCCCCCCCCCTCCTATCTCTCCCACTGTATTTCTCTTC